TAAGACCAGGGGCACTTAAAATGCCTAACTCTGCATCATGTTTTGCATTTCTTTTCTCTCCCCCCCCCCCATTATAATTATTAATTTTCCAATTTCCTGTTCCGAATTTTTCGAATTAATTTTCCTGTTCCGAACATATGATCATCTTCATTTCCTCACATTGCCAATCATTTCTTATTTAGAGTCCAGTTGGCATCTTTCACTTGCCGTTAAACCGTTCTTCCAGCTGGCCACTTTTTCCTCCTTACAAACAGCATCTCTGTTACATCTTATAAATAAGTCATCCATTTCACATGTATAGTCCTTCATATACATTGTTGTTCCAGACCTGGTGTGCCGGGAGAGTTAATTACTACCTTCCACTGTTCAGTTCTTTGCAGTGCTAATCTGGATGGTACAAAGTCACATTCTATTCCTTCCGCTGATCACCGACTACCGTACAAGCTGCAGCCCTAAATAACTCACAGAGTGCATATCCAGTCTCCACCATTAAAACTCCACTTTAGAATTCTTCCTCGGCACACAGTTAAAAACAAGACATTTTCTCTAATTCGGCCTCTCCGCCAAACCTGCTCGGCAGCAGTCATTCTTTTTTCACTGCACCAACAGCATTCCTAGTCCAGTCCAGGAATAACTTTAAATAAAGTCCATTCAGCCTCGGTTGTGGTCTAGCAGGGAGGGCATAGTAAAACCTTGTTAAATTCCTTGTTGAGCAAAAATCAGAAGCCTCCCCCCTCTTTTCCGAGGTAACAAACAACAACGTAACAGCGTCTACGCACGTCTCTTTCTCCTGCAAAATGTAAGAGACGTGTGTAGCCGCTGCTATGTTTTGCATTTCTTATGCACCAGGTGAGAGCTGCCTTCTTTGCTTCCCCTGCTACATCCCCCCCCCCAGCGTGTAAAAGAAAAATGCAGATATATTGGGGGGGGGATTTAAAGCAGATTATGAACTGGCCCCACAAGGGAGCAGGGACCGAGCAACGGGAGCTCACCCCGTCGCGGGGATTCACCCCGTCGCTTCTGATTGGCAAGTCCTAGGCCCTGTGGTTTAACCCACAGCACCACCCACATCACACATTGATTGTGTATACAGTTGTTATAAATGTTTATTTTGTGTGGTTTTTTCCTTTAATGTAATGATTTTGGTTTTGTGTGTGGAAACTAATAAAAATATTATATTTTAAAAAAACACACACAGCACCCCAATAAGGTCTTGCTTCCCCACAGCCAAAGCCTTGAGTTCTAGCAGAAATCAAGTATGTCTCTTCCTCATGGGCTTCAGCCTGCTGCCTCCTTCTAGCTTCTAGCTCTCTCACACACAACACAACTTTGGCTTTTGTCCTTCTAACTACCAGCCAGTTGAGGGAGACACAGAGCCACTTCCTTTGTTACTTTAATGACCCATATTTGGGCCATGACCAAGACGTTGGCCTGGCTATTCCAACTACTGAATCCTTGCCAGATCAAGGAATTAGGAAGGACTCAGGCATACAGGCTAAACCCACCCACCCTTCAGAAAATTATTATACTATCTGCATAGATCTTGGTGCACAGGAAGTACGGTGATATGTCTTCGCCTAGAAGGAAATAACAATTACTTTCTGCAGTGAATGCCTTTCAGAAGAGAGTCACGGGCAGTAATTCAGTGCCACTCCTGATCTTCATTACGCTATGACTTATCTGCTTACACTACAGGATGTCTGAATTTTATTGTGAGCACAGTTGTCCTAAGTGACAAGCCAAGCTGGAGGTCAGAGAGTTGAGAAAGCACCGAGGAGGAAAATATGCCATGCTGATTTTTAATGAACAAATTAATGCAAGGGGCACGTAAAAGAGGGCAGTACTTTGTTGCCTCTTCTTGGGCCCTTTGCAAAAATACAAAAAAAAAAAAATGGAAGCAGGGGACAAATGAGAAAAGATTGTCTTTCAAGATGCTACGGCAAATTGCCAGCCAACCTCTGCTTGAAAACCTCCGGGAAAAGAGAGACCACAAGCTCCCGAGGGCAAGGATCCTCCTAGCTCCAAATTGTATTTTTCATTTATTCTCACTTTCAAATCAAGGGTGAAGCATATGTAATCTGATTTACTTTGCTTGGGGAAGGGGCAGTAGATGACACTTGGTGTTTAACCCAGGATTCTAGAGCAGCACAAGATAACCGTGATGCTTGTAACACTTCTTCAGAATGTCTTAAACTAGTGTTGAGCTGGAAGCAATTTGAGTTCGCAAGGTTGCTCAATAATGTTACAACTAATCTAAAGTTGCATCCAAGCATCTTTTTCCTCAATAAAATGTATCACTTGCATCATGTTCTTTCATTAGAATACTGTTTGCGTTAAATTAAGCTAAAGAAGGGAATAGTTCTAGGAAAGTACTCATTGCCCTCTAAAACGTTATGCAAGTTTTCTGCACTGAAATAATGTAAAAAAACAAAAACCCCACCTTGTCCTTTTGCAAAACCTTTACCTAATTGTATATATGGTAATTATAATAGCAAGCAATTCTGTTCGGTCTACTGTTTGGTAGTAGTAGTGGCTACTGTTTTCCATACCTTTGACCACTTACCAGTTTTGTATGCTGCTTCTACAATAATAAAGCATCCTTAATTAAAAAAACCAAAAAAAAACCCCAAATATCATTGAAAAGCATGGAAAGTACTCAGTTATCTGAGTTTCTGTCTCCCAGTAGCAGCCTGCCTCCCACAATGTTCTGTTTAGGAAAACTGGATTTCCTTTAAAAAAAAGCTCAACATCTTTGGCTGTCCCCTCAACAGAAATCCTGGCCACGCCCATGCCCTAGGGAGACCGTTCCACTGTCAAACTGCTCTTACTGTCAGAAAGTGCTTCCTGATGCTTAGTGGGAATCTCATTTCTTTTAACTTGAAGCTCCCACCTCTGATCCCACCTCTGGAGCAAGAAAAACCACACTTGCACTATCTTCCATGCAGCAGCCCTTTAGCTATCTGAAGACGGCTATCGTATCTCCTCTCAGTCTCCTCTTTTCTAGGCTAAACATACAGTGGTACCTCTGGTTACGTACTTAATTCGTTCTGGAGGTCCGTTCTTAACCTGAAACTGTTCTTAACCTGAGGTACCACTTTAGCTAATGGGGCCTCCTGCTGCTGCTGCGCAATTTCTCTTCTCATCCTGAAGCAAAGTTCTTAACCCGAGGTACTATTTCTGGGTTAGCAGGGTCTGTAACATAAGGTGTGTGTAACCCGAGGTACCACTGTACTCAGCTCCTTCAACCCTTCCTCATAAGGCTTGGTTTCCAGACCCCTGGTGATAATCTTGGTTGCCCCCTCATCTTAATGGTCCATTGATTTCCCACCATTGGATCTCCATAGTGGGAAAAAGCTAAGCCTGTTGTTGTTGTTGAGATAGGAGCCTCTTAAGAAACCAAAAGGGACAGCCCCACAATTACCTATTCTTAACTACAAGGATCAGAAAATAAGAACAGATGCAGCGTGGCCACCCTGAGCACCCCACAGAACTCCTTTTTACCACTGCCACAAGATGAGGAAAACAACAAAGCAGGCAGGGGGACTATTTTCACTTCCCCACAATAATTATATGGAGAAAAATGAGTTACACAAAACACGTTGGCTGTTGTGCAACTGGCACACCCGTCTCAAGATTTCAGCTAGCAGAACTGCCGCAGACACATAACATGCCATAATTTTTTAGCATCTCTGAGGCGCAGTTACTTTCCTCTTCAAGTGGCATTTTAAACTGTATTATTCCCATGCTGGTTATTAGAAATAATGTACTAATTGTCAGTTTGTTTTTGATGGCCTGTTTTTCACTGTCACTGCAACGTCAACGTTGTTAATGGAGTAGTTAATACTTGGGTTTTCCCCCCTGGCATGCGTGTTTGGATTGTAGGGCAAGCGCTGCTCATCCTCTGCATGAGTAATTCAGTATGGCTTACTCCCATGTAAGAGGCATGCTTGTAAATAAAACCACACTAAACACAGCAGAGCTTCACTCTAAAACAGGCAGTGAATTGCAGCTGGTACTTACTACCCTAATAACCGGACTCCCAAGTAAATGTACTCCCGCTGCTGTCCAATCCTGTGCTCGCTTTCTGTGGAGTAAGTCCCATGAAACTAAGTGATATTTATTTCCTGGGATAGCTCAGCAGGTAGAGCATGAGACCCTTAAACCCAGGACTGTTAGAGGCCCATGTTGGGCAAAAGACTAGATAACCCTTGTGAGCCATTCGAACTCTATGATTCTATGACACATATGGCCCGGCAGCTATCCTACACATGCTTCCCCAGATTAAAAACAAATGGGCTTTATTTCCAAGTACCTTCACACAGGATTACAGTGGGATTTGCAGGGGCTCCCCGTTTGTGGAACAGGTTTGCCTAGTGCCTTCATTATACATTTTAGGAGCCCAGCAAAAACGTTCCTCTTTAGCCAATGCCCTTTTAAAATGTGTTGGGGAGAGGGGTTTATTGGGTTGTTTTCGTTTTTATCATGTATTTTGTTTTTATATTGTGGTCTTATAACCGCCCTGTGATTTCTGTAACCGCCCTGAGACCTGCGGCTACAGGGCAGTCTAATCATCATCATCATCATTATTATAGCCGTGCTGAATCTGATCCTGCAACTATTTATTTGGAAGTGAGCTCTGCTTCATCCACACCAAGTGCTCATACTAGCACTTTTTCAAAAAGGCTTATTTGCCTCGTGAAACTCGTCACGTGAGAGGGAGTCAGGCGCCGCTTGCGAAGCGATCTCTTTATTTAGCGGCTAACATCACAAGGGGGACCTTGCGCTTGGTTCAACAAACGGCGTCTCCTCCGATTTTGCAACGCGGTCTCTCCCTGCAAGCTCGTCTAAGATGCCTTTCCTGCCCTTTGCGGCCGAGGAGACCAGGATCCCTCCCACCCGAGGGCGGAGAAACTGGTTGCTCCTGCTCGGCGCGCTCCTCCTCCTCCTCCTCGATCCTCTCCACCCCCTGGCGGTGGAACAAAATGGTTTGCTCCAAATTTCAGGGCTCCACCCCCCACCCCAAGAAAAAAACACGCACACACACAGAGAGAGGTCCAGGGGGAGCAGTTGCATGCCTGTGTGTGTGTGTGTGTGTCTGCTTTGCGTGCGCCTCGTTTCCTCCAGCGCTTCCTGGCGCACCGGGCTTTCGCCGTCCGCCGAGAGGCGCATGACGGGAAGCCCTGGGTAGGGCAGTTGCGAGGAGCAGCAACAAGATCAAGTGACTGGAGGCCTCTGTCCCTGCAACATCGGATCCAGTAAGTAGCACAACATGCGTTTTATTTTACTTTATTTCCACGGAGGCCAAAATCGGGGGGTTGGAACGGCGAAGTTTCCAGAGCTACCCGGCGCGTCTTGGGGTGCGTTTCATCGTCTGGGCTGTTGTGTCAGTTGCGGTGAACTTCAGCGATCCGGTGGGGCTGACATAGGTGCCACAACTCCCTGGGGCTCTGGGTGCCCGGGCAGCCACAAAATTCCCCACGAAGGCGCCGGGCACCCACAAAGTTCGGTGCCAGAGCCATGCGCGCTGCATGGCGCCCACTTCCCCGGGCACCCACGGTCGCGGAGCCAAGCTGGCACTCCTAGGGGCTGGTTGGTAGGTAGGGGCGGAGGGGGAGAGAAGGTTGTTATTGGGGTCCCCCCCTCCTTCCTTGCTGTTTTCTAGTATCTTCCTCCTAAGGGTGAATTTGGATCAGTGGGTTTGGAAGCAAGGCGAAGGCAGGATGCGATTAACCGTTATTGGCCGGCCCTGCTCTGGAAAACAGATCTCATCGAGAACTTTGCTCTGTTTGCTTTGTTTCCGAAGGACGGTTTGGGAGGGTGAGAGGCGATTTAAACCACAGCACCTCGCATGACCTCTCAGATCTGTGAGCTAGCGTGTTTTAGAAAGAGTAGTGGAACAACCAGAAACTGCGGTAATGTTGTCTTTAGTTGATCATTCTTTCTCTTATAATTGTTCCTTTGCGTGACAAAATAACATGGCCTGGTCTAATTTTGGCTTGTTAGACAGGCGGTTCTCATGTATTAACAGGAACCTGATGAAAAGTAAACTGTTCTTTGTTTATCATGTGCATGTTACAGCCTGAAATGCAGCTGTTTCTTTTTCTCAATTCAATGCTCAATGCTCGTTTTTTTTGGGGGGGGCATATCAAAAACACAATAGAAATGACAGGCTAGACACAGCATGAAGATGGATTGTGATTAGTGGTGTCCACTGTGTGTTGCTAAAACTTTCTGAAGTTCTCTCCTCTTCCTTAACTTGCTCTCTCTCTTCTCTCCCCTTCTCTGAAATCAATAAGGGTCCCTAAACTCAACAAGGTTTCCTTATGAGTAAAGTGCTCAATAGTTAAGGGACTACAGTGGTACCTCTAGTTATGAACTTAATTCGTTCTGGAGGTCCATTCTTAACCAGAAACTGTTCTTAACTAGAGGCGCGCTTTCGCTAATGCGGCCTCTTGCTGCTGCTGCTGCGCCGCCGGCACATAATTTTTGTTCTCATCCTGGGACAAAGTTCTCAACTCGAGGTAACTCTTCCAGGTTAGCGGAGTTTGTAACCTGAGGCGTTTGTAACTCAAAGTACCACTGTAATTGAGCTGAAAGTGTAGAACATGAAAGCAAGACACTTCGGTAGAGTATTTCAACATGCGTCTCCTGAAATAAGTAAGGCTGGAACCAAATAAACTGCCAGCTCAAAAAAACAAAACAAAACCATGTCAAAGCAATCTAAGGGCAAATGCATCATCATGAAACCGTAAAATCATGGTCGTAAAACACTAAAATGCTGAACAAGTGACCATTTGTTGGCATGGGATTCTTTGCCCATGATTCAGAGGCATGCAGTAGTTGCATGGGGTCTGAGGAGGATGGAGTATTTGTTGGCAGAATTGTGCTCTTTTGTCATATTATATTATAGGAAATGGGTCACTGCTCAGTGACCCACTTGCATGTAGACATCTCCACCTTTGATCCCTGGCATCTCCGGGTTAAAAGGATCAGGTAGCAGCTGATGTGTGGAACTTCTGCCATTGCCACTCAAAGGAGACGTTTCTGGGCTGAGTGGACAAATAGTCTGAAACTTTATGATATTTGTGTGTGTGTGTGTGTGTGTGTGTGTGGTGGAGAGGGACTCTTCAGCTGAACTGTTCAAGATATTTCCTGCTTGGTTGTATTCATAGCTGCTCTTGCTTGTTCATCAGATAACTACAGTGTTTTGTTTTGTTTTGTTTTGTTTTTGCCAGCCTTGGTAACTACTGTTTTCTATATGGTATTTAAACAAACACAGTAAAAGTTGTTTACAAATGCAGAAATCACAGTTGAAAGCGGGACAACTGGTTAAAAAAAATCCTCCAAAATGGTTACAAACAGCGCTTAGAGCTTTTATACAGATGCATTTTAAGCTATATTCAGTTAAGACCATAATCTGAAGCACACTTGTGTGGATGTATATAATAGCTTGCTAAATGAGGCCCTACACACCAAGGACTGGTAAAAAGCCCTTGCAGAAGAACACTTCAGTGCCCTTTACCTGTCAGTGTCAAGTAATAATAATAATAATTTTATTTTTTTAAATGCCACCCATCTGATTGGGTTGCCCCACCCACTCTGATGGCTTCCAGCAAAATACAAAAAACACAATAAAACATCAAACATTAAAAACTTCCCTGTACAGAACTGCCTTCGGATGTCTTCTAAAAGCCATATATATATATATATATATATATATATATATATATATATATATTTGTTCATCTGTTTGTTTATCTGATGAGTAAACCTATAGGCCGCACCAAGCAGATTCTCTTCTCTGCCCCTAAATCCTTTCCCTCTTCAGTGTGCCTCCTGGGATCCACGTCACAGCCAGTGGATTTAGATAAAAAGAAGTGTATGCATTACAGGTGAATGCTGTAAAATAGGATACGGTTGGTGTCACAACCGTTTGGATTTGGGGCCATGTTGGTGGGGCCTGATGATGGGCGACAAGGAACCCCGTCATCGGCCCTGCCCTTGATGGATCCAGATGTTACCTGGAAGGAAGTGGGCAGAGAATGTGGGGAAGCAGTTAATTGTGCTGCTATTGCTAATGCGTGCATCATCGCTTGATTGCAAGTTGTTAGAGCTACTAGTGAGGCATGAGTGTGTATGTGCCCACATGCCTTGGCACACAAACATGCCTACAGTGGTACCTCTGGTTACGAATTTAATTCGTTCCGGAGGTCCATTCTTAACCTGAAACTGTTCTTAACCTGAGGTACCACTTTAGCTAATGGGGCCTCCCGCTGCTGCCACACAATTTCTGTTCTCATCCTGAGGTAAAGTTCTTAACACGAGGTACTACTGGGTTAGCGGAGTCTGTAACCCGAAATGTTTGTAACCTGAGGTGTTTGTAACCTGAGGTACCACTGTATAGCTTTCCTCTTTGTTTTCCTCTGCAGATGGCAGCGTGTATTGGGCCACAACTAAACCTAACGGCAGAGGTTCGAGATCCTTAAGCAGGCCCAACACGTGGGCGAGATCTTCCTGGGTGCGGGGGAAACCCACTCTCACAAGTTCAGCTTTGCAGCGTGAACTGAAGAAATGAATCTTGAAACTGCTGGGCCGACATCCTCGTCCCTGTTTTCGTGGGATTACGTTCTGTGGGAAGTCCGCCTGAAGCTAGTGGCGGCCGGCTTCTTCCTCTACTTGGGAGTGTTCTGCCTCTCGCACTGCCTGTCTTCGTGGCTGGTAGCCACTTACCGCTCGTTGCCAGCGAAGGAGAAAGTCTTCTGGAACCTGGCTGCAACGCGAGGCGTGTTTGGCATCCAGAGTTGTGTCGCCGGCTTGTGGGCCTTGCTTTTCGATCCGGTTTTTCAAGCCGACAAGGTCTACTCCCAGCAGGAGTGGAGCTGGTTCAACTGCCTCATAGCCTCTGGCTTCTTCCTACTCGAAAATGTAGCTGTTCACGTTTCCAACGTTGTCTTCAGGACATTTGACTTGTTCTTAGTCGTTCACCATTTCCTTGCCTTCGGTGGCTTTTTTGGTCTGGTCACCAACATAAAGTCCGGGCACTACATCCCCTTGATGGGAATGTTGCTGGAGATGAGTACGCCTTTCACTTGCATATCGTGGATGCTTTTAAAGGTGAGGTGTTGGGTGAGCAAAGGTCTAAAACATGGGTAGGCAAACTAAGGCCCGGGGGCCGGATTCGGCCCAGTCGCCTTCTAAATCCGGCCCGCGGATGGTCCAGGAATCAGCATGTTTTTACATGAGTAGAATGTGTCCTTTTATTTAAAATGCATCTCTGGGTTATTTGTGGGGCCTGCCTGGTGTTTTTACATGAGTAGAATGTGTGCTTTTATTTAAAATACATCTCTGGGTTATTTGTGGGGCATAGGAATTCGTTCTTTCCCCCCCCCTTAAAAATATGTTCCGGCCCCCAACAAGGTCTGAGGGACATTGGACCGCCCCCCTGCTGAAAAAGTTTGCCTACCCCTGGTCTAAAACCACTGTCCTGTTAATACCACCACTGCAAACTGTGTTGCCCTTTCTTTTGAGTGGAAGCCTTTGGGGCAAGGCAGGCCAGAGCTGTGGTGCCTCAAAAGAGCTCCGTCTGAGAAGCTTGGCCTGCCAAGGCCTGGAGGGGACAAATGAGGCCTTTAATACCTTGCTCAGATGAACACTGTCAGGTATGCATCTTTTCTGGAGGGTGGTGATCTTCAAAGGTCCAGTCTCCTGGCCAGGGGCATTTAGACAACCAACCTTTGTATGATAAAGGTCTAATATGGCACCCAAGCTTCTAACTGAAAGCTGAAAGCTTTATGGCCTTCCTAGAAGTCTTCCCAGAAAGTGTATTTTTATAAAACAACAACAAAAACCTAGATTTTCAAACTTGTAACAGTGATCTGTTGGTTGCTCATCTGTTGACCTTCAGGCGTTTCTTTATATATAATTTGTTATCAGGTTTTTCAAAACATTTGCACAATAACCTTCCAGTCAAAATAATTGCATTGTTTCATAAGCTGACATCCCACCCTCACCTCCACAGTGTTTTTACTCAAACGTTTTCTACTGCATTATATAATCATCGATTACAAAAAGTTTCTCTGTTACAATTAATTTATCATTTTTCGTCCGCTGCTTTTATCTTGAATCCTGCCCACGATTTCATTTGACTGCAATATATTTTTTTAATAGTTCATGAAAGGCCTCCAGTATTCTATAAAAAGTTCATCATTTCTATCTCTTTAATTTCGCTGTCAGCTTTGCCATATCTGCATAGTCCATTACTTTCAAAAGCTCTTCCTCCTTTGTCTGAACCTTCTCTTCCTTCCATTTCTGTGCAAATAATATTCTAGCTGTTATTGCCAAATATAACAGTCAGGAGTTTCTTGCCTTCCTTTTCCAAAGACCATAGCCTTGGTTTCTGAGTAATTAATCTCTAGATTTTCCATATTTACAATATTCACCATGCTCACCTCCACATGCAGGAAAACCCCATCGCTTGCACATAAAAGAACAGAAACCACCCTTGATAAAGTTGATTTTAGACTTTTCAGGCATTCTTTCTGGATGGAATTAGCTATAAACAGTGGAAAGTGACTATCGTTCAAAACCAATATGTGGTGTTGTTAGTGTAGTGCTCTCAGCTTACGGAGAAAGCAAATTCAAACTCCATTCTCGACTTCACTTGCGAAAATTCTGAACATTCTCACAAACTGAACAGCTGTTGGGAGAGAGCCAGTGTGGTGTAGTGGTTAAGAGCGGTGGACTCGTAATCTGGGGAACCGGGTTCGCGTCTCCGCTCCTCCTCTTGCAGCTGCTGGTGATCTTGGGCTAGTCACACTTCTCTGAAGTGTCTCAGTCTCACTCACCTCACAGAGTGTGTGTTGTGGGGGAGGAAGGGAAAGGAGAATGTTAGCCGCTTTGAGACTCCTTTCGGTAGTGATAAAGTGGGATATCAAATCCAAACTCCTCCTCCTCCTCCTCCTCCTCTTCTTCTTCTTCTGCTTCTGCTTCTTCTGCTGTGTTTCATTGGGATTAATTCCGTTTGGGGCATTAATCTTGAGGGAAAGGCACTCTGCACCTGCTCAGGAGCACTCTCACCTATTAATCTTGTATTCCTTGCTCTACTTTTCAACTAGCGCTTCTAATATTGGGTAGCTTGAGCATACTCAGGAATTAGAGGTTTGTGTCTCTTTTGCAGGAAATGTATGAGATCTTTTGATAAAGGGTGGTGTACAATTTGAATAAACAATAATAATAATACTGTTTTGTGTGTTACCACCCATCAAAAATTAGAGGGAATGGCATGCTGATCACAGGGTGCTATTTACAAACAAAGAAACCACGCCAGCATTCGAGTCAAAGGAACAATTAAACATTTATCTTTCTCTTGCATACTCTTTAAAGTGGTCAGGTTGTCACTTGCTTAGAAACTGTGGCATGATCTTCTTACCATATAAAGAGGGAGTGTGTACTAACAACCTATTTTGCTTTGTTGGAAATAGACATAGTCTGCAGCTTTGAAACCTGCAGCCCTGTGGAATCCAGTTTTAGCCAGGATTTATCTAGCGATCCAAAGATAAGCTAGCTTTAGGCCAGACATAGGCAAACTTGGCCCTCCAGATGTTTTGGGACTACAACTCCCATCATCCCTAACTAACAGGACCAGTGGTCAAGGATGATGGGAATTGTAGTTCCAAAACATCTGGAGGGCCGAGTTTGCCTATGCCTGCTTTAGGCATTTCATGGAAGGCAAGTTTTCCTTCCTTCTCTCTTCCATCCACCTGCAGCCTCTGAAAAGGCATTTTGGATAGTGTTTTGGTTTAGTTTTTTTAAGGGGCCTTAATGATGGGAGAGCATTCTTTTCTGGTCCTGGAAAGATTGAGTCAAACAATCCAACATGCATGTTGGACAACAGCCTATTAACAAGATAGAAAGATGCTGAGTCAACAAACATGCACACGAGGACTTTGGATACATTTCCCCAAAGATGTTGGTTCAAAATATTTCCCCCCAAGGACTTTCGATAATTGCGACACATTTTGAAAAAGGCTTATTGGTTGAAACGGATTTGTAACTGATTCTTCCATTGTCGATTGTCCTGTTTGTATCACTCTTTCCTTTTTGTGCGTTTCTTAGATACATCACCTCTTCCGGCTTGTGAGTCTTTCTGCTGGTTATGTTTTGATGTAGAGAGATTGCCATCCATGGCAGAGAACAAGAAACCTTCCTTCTGTAAAGTTCTAGAGATAAACTTGTCTTCAGTTTCAAGCCTTTCCCCCCCCCCTTCTTTTTGGGGGGGGACTTGGTTTAATGGAACCTGCTTATTCCATATTCAGGGACACAAGCCAGGGACAATCTGGTAGCAGCTCTTTCTTTAACTCACATTAAAGAGTTTAATTAAGGCAGACTCGCCCAAATGCTGACTCTTTGTGTTTCTGAGTAAACATTAAATTAACAGGCTCGTGCATTGGGAAGCTTAGCTGTTCACTATAAGCGCTCAAGCTTCACTGCTGTGTTGGGTCTTCGTGCAAAGATTTCTCCTGCGTTCTTTTCTAATACTGTGGGTTATCCCTAAGATCTGTAATGTAATGAGAATGGCTTGTAATGTAATGAGAATACTTTTTCTGTGCAGCCTGAGCAGGAGCAGTGAACAGCGTGAATTGCTGCAGCTTGTTTTCACTTACCTCACAGTTGTGAAGAGTATTCTCAGGTGATGAAACAATTGAGAAAAAGAGGAAGGAACAGGACACATACATATATAAGAAGAAGAAGATATTATTAATACCCTGCCCATCTGGCTGAGTTTCCCCAGCCACTCTGGGCGGCTCCCAATCAAATGTTAAAAACAGTACAGCATTAAATATTAAAAACTTCCCTAAACAGGGCTGCCTTCAGATGTCTTTTAAAGATAGGATAGCTGCTTATTTCCTTCACATCTGAAGGGAGGGTGTTCCACAGGGTGGGCGCCACTACTGAGAAGGCCCTCTGTCTTGTTCCCTGTAACCTCACTTCTCGCAATGAGGGAACCGCCAGAAGGCCCTCAGCGCTGGACCTCAGTGTATGTGTATATATATATGGACAGTCCCTGGATCAAGTGTCTTTTCTTTAAGTTCTCAAAGCTCTTAACCTGAGCTCAAGGTTGTCATCTGAACTGGCCAGACGTTTAACTGAGAATCCATCACAGTCCGTCCATCCTTTGAAAAATAAGATTTTAGAGCTGCCTTGCCCCGAAATGGGCAACTAGACATTCCATCCTGGCTACTGTATCCTTGGTTTAAGGAGCCATTTGGCTCCTAGCTTATAGATCAGAGTTTCTAAGACGCTGAGGAGGAACTCTTGTTGGTCCTCAGAGGCACCACGCCCCCTGATTGAGAAAGGTGCATGTCTTAGTATCAGCTCTTGGGAACGACCCATATTGCTGTTCTGAGATGCCTGTCATCTTCACGTTCCAGTCATCAGTCATTGCCCAAGCTTATTGCTTTCAATGCCAGCGTGTTTCTTCCTCTTGGAAGATGGCTGTTTAAAAGTCTCCTGGCATTTTAAAACAATTGACTTCCAGAAAGTTTGGTGTGTAAATATCTATACGGTGGTACCTTGGTTCTCAAACTTAATCCGTTCTGGAATTCCATTCCAAAACCATAGCGTTCCAAAGCCAAGGCATGCTTTCCATTGGAAAGTAATGCAAAACAGATTAATCCATTCCAGACTCTTAAAAACAACCCCTAAAACAGCAAATTAATTTGAATTTTACTATCTAACGAGACCATTGATCCATTAAATGAAAGCAATAATCAATGTACTGTATAATAAAATATTGTATAATAAAATAAAAAACTATAAAATAAATAAGACAGTATTGTAGATGATAAAAATTTAGGTTTTTTTTTCTTACCTGCACTGATGATCATCATTGTTTGGATGGGAGGCTTTTATCCATTTCCGCAGCCACACAATCAATCAATCAGTAGCTGAACTGGGTTCCACACAGTCACAAAAATAAATTAACCAAAAAAAGCCTCAAAAACAAAAACGCAAAATAAATGCACCAAACTTAATCCCTTCCGGAAGTCCGTTTGACTTCCGAAGTGTTCAAAAACCAAGGCGCAGCTTCTGATTGGTGCAGGTGCCCCGGGAACAAAAGCCGACAGCCTCATCGGACGTTCGGCTTCCGAAGTCACTTAATTCCGGGTTTTCGGTGTTTGGGAACCGAGGCAAACTGGCAAACTTTGCACATGTTCTTGGTGGTGTTATTTGAGGTGAAATGTTTTCTGAATAGAACTCCCATGAAAAATATGCGTTCTATATAGAGTCTTAACTTTTGCTTTTCTTCTCTTCCAGGTTGGCTTGGCGAAGACTTCCTTTTGGAAGGCAAACCAGTGGCTGATGATCCACATGTTCCATTGCCGCATGATTCTTACCTACCACATGTGGTGGGTGTGTATTTCTAACTGGAACGCTGTTGTGGAGAACCTGGGCCTCCTGCATTTTGCTGTCGTCTTCACAGGGATGAGCGCCGTCACCGTAATACTTAACCCCTACTGGACCTACAAAAAGACTCAGCAGCTCATCTGCCCCGTGGACTGGAACTTTGCCAATAGAGCAATGGAAAACGGCTCATCCCCAAAACCCAACGGGGATGTGTTGCAGAAGAAAGGGTTGTGACGGCGACATTATTGGGCCTCTTCGGGAACCGATTTAAAACATAAAGGGCAGGTGGAGGTAGCTGGGGTAGGCAGGATCGCGAAGCTTCAGTTTTTTTGAGTTAAGGGATCTGAAACGTATTTATTACTAGTCCGCCGTTTTCTTATCAGTATTCTTAATCAAATAACTGTGACGTTGCAAATTTGGTTTAAATATCTGTGTTGCACATCTGCATACTTCAAGAAATGTAGAAGAGAGAACTGAATACGAGAAAAGGCAGGAGAGGAGTTGGCTGTGATCCAGTTCCGGGGACCAGCCTTCCATTTCTTAGAGCTGCCGCAAACACATTGACCAGGGACTGTCCAGAATACTATTCTGGTTGTCTCCAAAATGTCACCAGGGACAGGTGGCGTTTCCAGATGGACCCCCATCTTTCTAGACTCGCTCTCAGTTTTATGTAGACATGCTGAGCTCTCTTCATTAGTCGGTGCTCATAGCCTTAAACCTCCGCTTGCAAATAATGTTGAACCTAGTGTTTTTAAAGAAAAAAATAGAAGTGGAGAGGTGTAGAGCAGGTGGAACAATGTGATTTGCGCACAGTCGGCACCAGAAAAGTGCAAGAGGCAACACTAGTTCAAGAGGACTGCTGGGCAACTCTAGAATAGCCAGATCATCAAAACAGAGGTAGTTTGATGATTCAGAATACCAGGGTTGGGATTACAGGTTTCGTTCCTTATGGCACTGTACATGCACAAACATGCCCCCTTTGCCTCTTGCAGTCAGTGAGTTTAATTGCCTCCGAGATGCAGAATCACCTTTGTGTAGCATGAACCAGCCTCCCCCCCCCCCAACCTGGAGACTTCCGGATCTTTTGGGTTCCCAACTCCCAAATGATGGTGAGAGTTTTAGTCTAAAATATCTGAGGGTAGGCTGCTGCAAACCTTTGGCACCTCTTTCAGAACAGTCCTGACCCCTATTTTACACTGCACTTTGGGGGCGGTATGTGTGTAGCCGGAGTGGAGGCCCCTCTGTGCTCAGGCCACAAGGCTGCTGGCACCCCTGCCCATGGAAAGCCCCCCTAATGGAACAGGGCTGAGCCAGTCCTTCCGAGCTGGTCTCGCTGCCATTTGGACAACTGCGTAAGATTCAATCTGTGTCCTTGCTGCTGTCCCAGCCTGGAGCTGATGCAGGGATTGGCCTGATCTTCGTGCCTCTCCTCCTGTTGCTGCCATGACCAGCTGGGCTCAGAGGGATCAGTAGCTCCACTGCACCCCAGAGAGGTTTAGATTTCATCTTTTAAAACTTGTGTCGCATTTAACAGATAGGGGCAGAGATCAGATTTTGGATCTCTTGAGCAGTTTCCAATAGCTCCCCAACTGGTTGCTAGGAATTTAGCGATGAATACTACAGTGCAGGCACCCCCAAACTTGGCCCTCCAGATGCTATGGGACTACAGTTCCCATCATCCCTGACCACTGGTTCTGTTAGCTAGGGATGATGGGAGTTGTAGTCCCAAAAACATCTGGAGGGCCGAGTTTGGGGGTGCCTGCTCTAGTGGGTGAACTTGCCCTACAGGGCTCACTTAATTAGTACTGCCTTAACTGCTAAAAGACCCTGAGTGTTTGCCCTTTGCTTCGTAAATTTAAACTATAGTTAAAAGGCTATATATATTTTAAAAATCCTATTTATAACATCAGACCTCTATCCTCAGCCCTATCCCCTTCAAGTGTCAGGTATTAAGATGCTTCTGAAAAGGTACCAACAGTTTTTGAAAGGTCCAAGAGGAAAGTTGTCCTTTTAACTTTTCCCAGTGTAAATGTTGCAAATCGTTTGTTTGTTTTTAAAGAAGTTACAGGAAACTTGTTCAAAGAATCCGTATTCCAGCAGAAAGTTGTGGAGCGCTGACACCTGGTGGCCATTGCGATGTATAGTTCGCTTGTTTTGACAAGCAGAATATATACAATGAGCAAAGGATATTATTGCATGGAGGCAGTTTACCTATGCTTGCCTGTGAGTTAAGTCCGACTGAACTCAGTGGGATTTGCGTCTGAGTAGACAAGATTGCACTGAAAGCATGCTTGTTCGTTTGTTTTTATTTATTTTGAGTGCATAATTCTTCCTGCTGTGTAGCTTTGCATTCCAACCTGTGATGCAGAGGTGTAAGGGAAACGAGGTTTTTCCATTCACTAATGCATACTGATGGAACTGCTGGTGGAAAATTAGCATGATGAAGGACATATTACAGGGTTTTTTCCTCCCTCTCTTCTGCTCCCTCTTCCCTTGGTAAATAGACATTAATGTACAGTTGTGAAGGTCCAGTACAGAGGAATTACACCCAAGGTAATGTGCATTTGTCCTGGCATGTACTTGGGTGGAGTAATAGCAGTGGGGGAGCACATTTTGGTAGCATAAATGCAACTATAGAAAATTAGCATTGGAAACTCAAAGCATGGTGATTAATAGCAATATTCCATCCATTGATAGATGGGAGTATCTGTTCACAGAAGTCTTCCCAGGGTTAAAAGGGTCCTTTCGCGATCAGAGGAGAAACTTTGGCTCCAACACACAATATATTGTTCTTGTTTAAAGGTACCTGTTACCTTCTACTGTTGCAATGTCACAGCAAGATATGAAACTTCAGGACGTATGCCGATGGAACTGAATAATTTTGTCGGTAGTTCTCGTTGAGCCCTGTGAGGCAAAGCAAACATAAATCATTGTCGTTTTATCTGTAGGCCGCCTTTCCATAGTTAAAACTGTGCTCAAGGCGGCTTACAAAACTTGGAGAGGTTTACATAACTGTATGACGAAAGCAGGCGTAAATAATAAATGAAACACACCCAAAAGTACGCAACCAAATGGAACAATTTCCCCATAAACCGTAGCACAGTGGAACCTTGGTTCTCAAGTGCCTTGGTACTCGAACATTTCGGCTAGCGAACGCTGAAAACCCAGAAGTATTGTAACTCCTTAGAAATATTCTGATACGAACGGATGAGGATCGGTGTGTCCTTTGTGTAACCTTGTTTTTATTTGTGTGTGAAAGCTTATACAAAAGGGCTGTTCCAGTGGAGAGGGAGGTTGGTCTAAGTCAATGTGACCCACTTCTGAAACCTTGTGGGGATGAAGATTCCTCCCTCCCCCTTCATTCAGTGGTCTAGTGCTAAGGTTTCCAACCTTTTTGAGTCCACAGCTCCCTTGATCAACTACATTTTTTCTGCAGCACCCCTGTGGGGGCCCAGTTGTGTCACCCTTTGCGGGGCTGGCAGCCCCTCATCCCTCTTTGAACACCCTCCCTTGTGGAGTGTTTCCTCGGCATCCTCTCACCTCTCCTTGGGAGTCCTCCGGGCAGCCACAGCTACCGCCCCTGGTCTCTGAGCTGCCCCCCACCTCCTCACAACAGCCCCACAGGGGTCTGGGATTTGTTTGCCCATTCCCAACAGCAAGGGCTGGCAGACCGGCTGGTTGGGCTCCCTCACCCACTTGCTTGCTTACTCTGAGGCCGCCTCAACTCCTGGCGGCCAGCACCCCTTGGCCAGCACCAGGGACGCCATCCGCCTGGGGAGCTTGTAGCCAGGGCTGCTGCAACAAAGAGCTGCATGTGCCTTTGGAAGGCAGAGACTCCAGAGGGCCTCAGAGGAAGGGAGGGAAGGACAGAGGCCAGTGTTGCCCGCAGCACCCCTGACCATCATTCAAGGCACCCCAGGGTGCCACGGCACACTGAAAACCACTGGTCTGGTGAACTAGGAAATATATTTTGTCACAGAATCCTGGCCTAATTGTTTTTCTTAGAACTCCCAAGGTGGTTTTCAGCCACAGCATTACACACACACACACACACACACACACACACACACACAGTCCGGAAGATGTGTAATGTTACATTTTGGAATATAATCCCCTTGCAGCTTTTGAAAATGAGTTAACAAGTTCGCTTTACTAGTCTGCTTCTGATCAGAAGTTCGGTTTCTTGTTTCCCCCAGAGATCATCATCTCTGCGTCTAAAAAGGGGAAGTAGGTGAAATAAACCTGAAAGGGCTTATCTTCAGTATGAGCTTACCTCAGACAAGAGCTGATCTGAATTCAACTTGGCCCACAGCCTGTTTACACAGAGCTGGGCAGGTGGTGGGAAATTTGGGAAATGGACACTTCCATGGTTCAAGCTGTGCAGAATCAAAAGTCGGCAAAAGTTTTCGTCATGCAAAATATGTAGCAGCAGAAATCTTGAGTTTAACCCTGTACCTCTTCCACTGTTGGCTGAGGTGGCTGCATTCACACGTCCTCATTCCCTCGATCCGTTCTGCCTGCTGCCGAAATGTTACTCAGCCCCAGCTGAGCCCATTTTCTCCCTAGTTCAATAGCATTTTCCCTTGGTGCAGTTCTGCAAACCTGCAACAGCCGTCTCTTTGCAGAACTCTGCATTTTTTCCTCAAAGGTCTTAAATTACTGAAAAGTGAGTGTGGGGAGAAGAAAAACAGTGAGGACAGAGATCCTTCTGGAAGCAAGCTGCCTATTGTGCATATACAGGTTTCGATTCTGATTCTCATTTTAGCAGAACCAGGTTCCGCGTGGTTCGTGCTTTAAGGGGAGCAAATCCTTCCTTTTCCTCCATGTGTGTTCTTTTCCGTAAATGTTCCCTGGCAGTTCTGAATAGTTTTTTCTCTCTGCAGGAGGGGCTGCAAAACGGGAAGGCCATTTGGCATAGAGGACAAAATTGCCGTAAGAAGGCATTTGGCAGGAGGAAATAGGGCGGTTCAGGGGAGGCTAAGTGCCACCCGTCTGTTCAGTTCTGCCTTGGATTTCTGTTATGTTGGCAGGTTTGTTTCCTAGTATAATGTCAGTGCTGCAGAGATGGGACCAAGACATGTAAGCCAACACCATGCCTACTTGCACTTTTATAGTTTAACATGAGTCTTGAACTTGGGAGGAGGCGGTAGGACTGAATAGAGGCAACTGTTCTCTGTCTTATGTCCTTGAACTGTAATACAGAGGGGGCTTAGTCTCTGTCTCCCCCCATCAGTTACTATCTGCCACATGCAACTGGTGTGTGATCCCTATTTTAAAAAAAAATGTTTCTAATTGTATAATAAAGAGTGTTTTATATACTAAGCGGTGTGATTCCTCCTTCCCCCACCCCCATCTCTGCACTAGTGGTGTATTTGGGGGCTTTTGGAAACATTATTCTTCCTTCCTTTAAATCACAGCGGCTTCGCAAGCCTTTGCAATACAGTGGTACCTCAGGTTACAAACGCTTCAGGTTACGGACTCCGCTAACCCAGAAATATTACCTCGGGTTAAGAACTTTGCTTCAGGATGAAAAGAGAAATTGTGCTCCAGCGGCACGGCGGCAGCAGGAGGCCCCATTAACTAACGTGGTGCTTCAGGTTAAGAACAGTTTCAGGTTAAGAACGGACCTCCAGAACAAATTAAGTTCTTAACCCGAGATACCACTGTATATTGTTTGCAGCTGAAATGCTTTGCATATCCATGTCGTCGTGCTAAGCTCCCTTTTAGTGCACCAATGAAAAAGGGGTTCTCCCCTCTGGGCTTGCCAGTTAGATCGCTTCTTAATGAAGTTGATGTTAAAATGTTGTGCTTTGAAAGCAGTTGATGTGCCAGTCCTTCTAGCATCCTGCTTTCCACTGTGGCTAGATAACTTCCAGGAAGCCCAGATGCAGGATATGATGAGAAAATAGACCTCCCCTCACAACTGGTGTTCAGTGACGTATGACCTCAGATTGGAAATTCTGTTTCATTTATTTACATATGTTCTTCTCCCGCCTTTCCTCCCAAAGGAAGCCAGGCCAGCAAATGACAAAATATAAAGATAATACAACTGACAAAGCAGCCTCTTTTTGAAGAGGCTGAAAAATAGAGGTACTTGGTGCAGATGGGGCTTGTTGGTCTGGAAAGGGAGCCCGTCTAGGATAAGGAAAACTATGATTCTAAATCTCCGCTACCTTGTGGGAGAAGAAAATGCTGAGGATTAAACCCTACACAAATTCAGAGACAGTAGGATGGCATCTTGAATGCCTCCTTCCAGCAACTCCTGAAGCCAAGCTGGTGCCAAACGTATTGCTCTGCTTTGCTTTGGACCACATTAGAGAGGCTGAGAGGGGTGTCGTCTTGTCCGGACAGCCCAGGACCTCCATATATACACTGCCCAGCCTTCCACCCCAGGAAGGTCACAGCAGTTTGACTTCACTCCCGGAGGTGCACTCCATTGTCTCTCGAGGCAGATGGCTGCCAACAATGGACTGGTGGCACGTGGTCCCATCAGACTGCCCCACCTGCCAATCTTAGGCACAGCTGCATTCTGCACTAGTGGCAGCTTTTGGAGTGTCTTCAAGGGCAGGTCTGTGCAGAGCGCCTTGTAGCAGTCAAGCAGGGAGGTCACTAGAGCATCGGAACTAAAGTCAGGCTAGCAGGACTGGTGGTCAGGGATGATGGGAGTTTTAGTCCAACAACAGCCGGAGACCCAGATTTGAGAAACCAACCAATATTTCAAATGAAGTATGCTTTTAAATATGTATAATATGTGGGGATGGGGGTTAATATAAAGTGAGAGTTAATATAAAGCTTAAAGGAGATTATCAGGTATAATAGGGCATATTATATGTAATTTACTGAAAAGTGGCCTGATGGTGGGGATCTTCCTTCCCGTTGTCAACCTGTTGGTTTAGATTTGTACTTGGCTATGTCCAATTACGGGATGCGGGTGGCGCTGTGGGTTAAACCACAGAGCCTAGGACTTGCCAATCAGAAGGTCGGGCGGTCCGAATCCCTGTGATGGGGTGAGCTCCCGTTGCTCAGGCCCTGCTCCTGCCAACCTAGCAGTTCAAAAGCACGTCAAAGTGCAAGTAGATAAATAGGTACTGCTCTGGTGGGAAGGTAAACGGCGTTTCTGTGCACTGCTCTGGTTCGTCAGAAGCGGCTTAGTCATGCTGGCCACATGACCCGGAAGCTGTGCGCCGGCTCCCTTGGCCAATAAAGCCAGATGAGCGCCGCAACCCCAGAGTCGGCCACGGCTGGAACTAATGGTCAGGGGTCCCTTTACCTTTATGTCCAATTACGTTGCATCTCCCCAAACTCTTCCTATGGTGCAAACAGAAAAAGTCCCTACATTTTGGAATGCACACACACGTATCTCAATGCCAGAGGGGTGGGAAAATTGTGAACTGATTCTGCTAGCAGTGATTTTAGAATGGCCCATTCTGGAGGTGGAGGGGAGGAGAAATCCCATCTTAATGGATAAAAAGCTGAGGCTGAGAAAGAAATATTAAGGAATGAATCAATACTGCAGGCTCTGAAATTGTTCTGTTCCTACTGGGGAAGGGGGATCCCTGGAACGGAGCCTAATATTGATTGAGAAGCCATGTATAATTTATAGAATTTTATATAAATAGAGTGTATCTGAAGGTCACCTGCTATCTGACTCTCTCCCTCCGGTTGAATGAAAGTTATTCCTCTGGTACACACACACACACACACACACACACACACACACACTCATTTTAGCTACAATTTTGCATGTGTCTCGGGGAAATTTGTAGGGTGACAAAACAACTTTAAAGAATTCAGACCCTTCAAGTGTCCCTATTTTCCAGGGACAGTCCTGGATTTACAGAAGACATCCCAGTTCCTGATTTCATAGTAGAATGTCCCACTTTTTCTTAGGACGTCCCTATTTTCATTGGAGAAATGTTGAGTGGTATGGAGTTATGCAACCCCCGAGCCAAGGAGATAAGTAACTATACAACCTTTAGAAGACATCTGAAGGCAGCCCTGTATAGGGAAGGTTTTAAATGTTTCATGTTTTATTACGTTTTTATATATGTTGTAATCTACCCAGAGTGGCTGAAGCAACACAGTCAAATGATGATGATAATTTATTATGGAATAGGATGTCCCTCTTTTAGTCAGAGAAATGTCGGAGGGTATAAGAGTTACCTGTCCTATGAGAGTTTTATGGGGCTGTTAGAACATATTTTTAGGAATATGGGAGCCTAAAAAAGGGACATGGTGGGAGCACAATTCTGAAAGTGCCCTAATTGGTGCTTCTAAGCCATGCTTACTCCTAAACCTGAATTGGTTCCCTATGGGGCACCAAAGGCTTCCCATAAGTTCTGATTGCCCTGTCAATAAAAAATGAATGGGACTATGGCTTCATTGAAATGCCTTAAGTGGGGGAACGACTTATTATTTGAACCAGTGGTAGGTCCGAAGTGTTGTCAGCTTCAGTTAATCTTCCCCACTGGACTGTTAAGTCCAGTCGTGGACGACTCTGGGGTTGCGGTGCTCATCTCGCTTTATTGGCCGAGGGAGCCGGCGTTTGTCCACAGACAGCTTCCGGGTCATGTGGCCACTTCTGGCAAACCAGAGCAGTGCACAGAAACACCGTTTACCTTCCCACTGGAGTGGTACCTGTTTATCTACTTTCACTTTGACGTGCTTTGGAACTGCTAGGTTCTCCACTTACCAGCAAACAAGGACAGAGAACACGGAGCAAGACCTTGTTCTATAAAATGACTAAGGAAAAGTCACTACTTTATGAATTTGCCTCTGGATTCAAAGCTTTGCGTTTCCCTCCACCATTCCTAAGATTTTTGCTAAGGATCTCATGTGGACTTCAGAGCATGAAATTAACAAAATGAATTCCACATCAAAGCTTCATGAACTGTGTGTAACCTATTAGTAGTTCCCTTGCTTCTAGTCTTGTGCAACCTCCATTGTACTCAAATAGTGTGGAGGAAAGATGCTGATCACCAAAGGATTTGAGGGGATTTATTGATGACTTCTAGTGCTATGGAGATGTCCTGTTAGCACTGTGAATTGGTGCCTGAAAGTAGTATCGGGCTACATGATGGCTAACAAAGTACATCTTAATTCAGACAACATAGGTGAGCTCCTGGTCCAAAAGGAGATTGACCACTGATTCAATCTGTTTTGAATGGGGGATGCATTTTCCTTGAAGAATCCGGGAGCTGCTGGATTTGACTTTATACCTGGATAAACAGGTGATGGCCAGGAGTGCCTTTGGCCAGTTAAGCCTGATGCAGTAGCTGTTCCTGAGAAAGTTGGATCTGACCAATGGACCTTCGTTACATCCAGGTAGGATTATGGCAATGCATTCTACCAGGGGGATTATATTTGAAGAGTCTTGAGGAGTTTATAGGAGCTGCAGTCAGGACAAAAATGGATGAATGCTTGCCTTTGGGGTGATGTTGCAGCTGGTTACCAGTTTGTTTGGGGCACAATTCAAAGTGTTGGTGATTTACCTTTTCAACTAAAGCTTTAAATAGCTTGGGCCCAGGATCAGAGGGAGTCCTGTCGTAGGGTGGAGGCACAGCCTCTGGGTGGGACAAGAGAGGCCTCAGCAGCTGTGCCCATATAATAGAAGTACTGTTGGCACTTACCCCATTTTTGGACAGAGGCTCTGTGCCCTTAACAGCTGTGGCATGCAAAAATTCAGCAGGCACAGCTTTTCTAGCATGGAGGTGTATAACAATAGGAAAAGCTGTGTTGCACCTGCCAGGTATTTATTGTGTGTCTTTGAAAGGCAGAGAACCTGCCAACATAATGGAGGGTGGGAGAGAGATATGTCAATCTATTATTATTTTAACATCACACAGCACCCCAAAACAGCATAGGAAGCAGTCTTCAATTTCCCTTTGGGCTTTTAGGATTTGGCACAGCAATTATTTTTAACCTACTTAGCTTCTGCAGCTTTACCACAAGTAAAACATGATTATTTCTGTGCCGTCTTTAAAGAGCCAGTGCAGAAACTTTTTTTTTTAAAAAAAAGCCAGGTGCAGACTGTGTCCAAAACACATTGCTTCCGAGGCAAACTGTGTAGATGACGTGAGGCATTTTCAGAAGGAGCAGCCCCAAGGAGCCACAATTTAAGAAGGATGTTGACAAGCTGGATCGTGTGCAGAGGAGGGCAACCAAGATGATCAAGGGTCCGGAAAGCAATCCTTACAAGGAGTCCTTGAAGGAGCTGGTTATGTTTAGCCTGGAAAAGAGGAAATATGATAACCATCTTCAATAACCTCAATGGCTGTCATGTGAAAGAGGGAACAAGCTTGTTTTCTCCTGCTCCAGAGGGTAGGGCTCAAACCAATGGCTTCAAGTTACAAGAAAGGGGATTCCGACTGAACACACAGAAAAACCTTCTGGCAGTAAGAGCTGTTTGACAGTGGAACGGTCTCCCTTGGGAGGCTGTGGATTCTCCTTCCTTGGGAAGTTTTAACACAGAGGTTGGATGGCCATCTGTCCTGGATGCTTTAGCTGAGGTTCCTGCATTGCAAGGGGTTAGACTAGATGACCCTTGGTGTCCCTTTCAATGCTAAGATTCTGCACAATGCAGGAAAATGCAGCTGTCCCATACGGAGATTGAGCCTGCAACCTTGGCGTGATCAGCATCAACCAGGGCCGGATGAGGCCCTAAGCTACTGAAGGTAATGGGGCCCTTTATATGTCCGGCTGTCCTTTGTCAACAACAAATTGTCACTGTTTTTGTGTTGAATATATGCTATATGGTAATTTATGGACCTCATAGGTATCTAAAGCCATTTGCACATAACAAAATACAGTGGTACCTCAGTTTACGAACTTAATCCGTTCCGGAAGTCCGTTCTTAAATTGAAACCGTTCTTAAACCGGGGCACGCTTTCCCTAATGAGGCCTCCCACCGCCGGTGCCCTTCCACCATTCGGATTCTGTTCTTAGGCCGAGGTAAAGTTTGCAAACCGGGACACTACTTCTGGTTTTGCAGAGTTCATAAACTGAATCGTTTGTAAACAGGACTGTTCTTAAACCGAGGCACCACTGTATGTATTTTATCAAAGTAATTGTTGAACTGAAATACAACTAAGAAGTATAATATTAATAGCGAAATACAATTAAGAAGTAGTATATTGGGGGGGCAAGAGAGTGGGGCCCTAAGCTATAGCTCAGGCATAGGCAAACTCTGGCCCTCCAGATGTTTTGGAACTACAATTCCCATCACCCCTGGCTAACAGGACCTGTGGTCAGGGATGATGGGAATTGTAGTCTCAAAACATCTGGAGGGCCAGAGTTTGCCAATGCCTGCTATAGCCTATTTAGCTTATAAATAAATCCGGCACTGCCTCTAACCAACTGAGCCAAAGCTTCTCCGCTTAAATTTATCATGGTGTTTTTTAAAAAGTGCAACTCCATCTGCTAATAGGGGCTCCCCTAACTTTCCGCCCCACCCGTTGGAGAGGAAACTTGCTGGGAAGAAACAGCCCAGGGATGCTGCGGGAGGGTTTCCACGCCTAAAATGGAGGCTTTTTAGTTAGTTTGTTTTTTGCTCCATCTGCCTTGCAGGAACAGCGGCCGAGTTGGCCGCGCAAGTGCGTGCGTGCGCCTGGCCTGTTCTCCTCCCCAGCTCCGTCTCTGGGCGACTCTTGACAGCTTCCCGACCCCGCACAGCTGTACAAAAGAGAGCAATTATAGGCGCGTCACGTGGGCAATGTAAGGAATGCGATGGGAGGGAGCGGAGGGCGGCTCTTCCCAACTCTCTCCCTGCGCGTTTGTGGCGCTTTCCCTCGCCAGCGACAAGGGAGGGTGGGGGCGAAAGACAAAAAAGAAAGACTGGCAGCCGTGGGAGCCAACGGGAGAGCCGCGACTGCTGCCTGCTCCCTCCAATCACGGGGAAGCTGGGGCTCCCAGCTTTGAAGGCTGGGTATCCTGTGTGTGGATGGATGAGCTGGGAAATGCTGTATCCCTATTCCGGGCGCGCGCGCCTCTGCGAAGGGGCGTCCGAGTTGGCACCCGCTAAGTGAGGTAAGGAGAAGGAGGCGGCAGGCAGCGCTTGGCTCCCTCTCTCTCCCCGGCCTGAGGCGCAGAAAGAAACGCTGGAAAGGTGAAAAAAATAAAAAGGGGGGTTGTTTTTTGTCGCCGAAGCAAAGCCGGAGTCGAAGGGGCAGGGCTTTCGAAGCTTTGCCTGAGAGGCTCTTTGTGTGCGCCTTTGGGCATCTCGGCGGAGAGGGCTTCTTCGCGCGCCCTGGGGAGGAAGAAGAGAAAGGGCTCGTGTAAGTGCAGTGACGGGTCCGGACTCCGAAGCGCTGCTGCGGTGCAACTGCTGCCTCCTTGGCAGGCAGGTGCCCCCATGCCCCATCCCTCCAAAAAAAAATGAACCCTGCATCTTGCTGCTGTTTCCTCGCCAGCGAGAAAAAGTTGGAAGGCTTGTTTTGTATTGGAGGAGAAGCCTCTCCACCCTGCTCCCTTTCCCTCCCTCTCTCACCCCACCCCTCTTTGGGATCCCCCCACGGAGAGTAGTGATTCATAAGCTGCGAGTGGGTGTGGAGCTTTCTTCTGGATTCAGAAACCGGTGGTGTCATGGCCCAAAAATGCCTATATGCGCACTGCACAGATGCAAAGCGCTTCGTGGCTTTTTTGTTGGCTCAGCAGGTCTGCGAAGAAATGGACTTGGAGGAGAGAGACGCTGTTAGCTAACTGTTGGGATTCTATTTATTTATTTATTTATTTTTAAAGTATAAATTTTGGTTTGATGTTTTGAAGCCTTAAGTAAATGGAAGGGACTCGTGCAATATACTGAGAAAGAGCTTGGAATAATTGGGACTGGAATAGACTGTGCATAAGGAGCTTTTAGTAAATTAGGATGGTATTCAATTAAGTTTTACTCGGAGTAGACCCATTGAAATTAATGAGCATGACTAAGTTAGGCCCATTAATTTCAGTGGGTCTAAGCTGATTGAAACTTGAATATCACCTATAGGATTTTGTGATATTTCTACTGAGTATGCATAATTAATAATATGTTAAAATATATGAAAATCGTATGTGGCTATTTCATATTTAAAAGTATCTGCATTGCCTATATTACTCAGACAGGGAAGTTTTACAAGGCACGCATTAGAAACTTTTTAAAGGTTTTCTGAGGTTTGATACATGGTAGATGACTTACAATGTCGTAAGATGTTTATGTAAACTGATACAAACAAAAGAACTTCAAAAAACAAGTCAAGGAGAAAACAATTAATTTTGGTAGCTTAATCAGACTTGTTGAATCTGTGGATTTCAATTTCATGCATACTTCTCTCTGGCTGCAATCCAGTCGAGAGTTAGGTGTACTGAAGTCTATTGAAATAAATCGGTTTAAGTGTATTTAACTATGCCAGATTGTGGCCCAAGTCTTACTAAAATCAAGACATGCACATAGCTTTTAGCATGTATAAATAAATGTATAAATAAGTCCCATGTAACAAAGTGTATCAACATTGAATAAACCTGCCTAAGATAGGATTAATACACACCTAACTGGAATGCCTCTGCAGCTTAGCAGTACCAATGTAAGGTGCAAGAACTAAATCAAGACATTCCGTGTTTCTGTCAATTGTGCAACTTTAACCAGTTTGTGTCTGCAGAGATGATTAAAGATTGCTTTGTAGTCTGCAGAAAAAGCTGCTGGCTATAGCATCCTGAAACATGAACTACAGACATCACCGTAATGGTTGGATAACTTGGTACATGTTGAATTTTAAATTTTTTTAATGATGGAAGCTGATTTATAGAGTACTTCCTCTTAAAAGGCATCCTACAAATGCTATAAAATTAATTAATTTATTTCCACTGGTCACTCACCTGTGTCTAGTATAAACTGCCAAGTCTGCATGAGAAGATCCTCACTTTGATTGCACAGAGAAAATGGGTCATTCCTTCATTCATTCATTCATTCATTCATTCATTGGGCCTGTTTCATTAACTTACCATGTCTCCCTAAACTGTACTAATATGCTAAACCAGATTACCAGAAGCTTGCTGCTACATTGGTCTTTTCTGTTGGAGTTTGTTATTGAAGTTCTGTGGCAGCAGTTCTAAGAATTTTCCTTTTCATTTTAAGATGTTGGTTTGGTAACACAGATTATTAAGGGACTCCCAGACAGGTGTCTTCTGATGTACATGAATCTGAGGGTTCACAATCCTTTTCTTCTGATCTGCAGTGTGGAGTTAATTTTAAAACTGAAGACAGAGACCATGCCGTCTTATATATTTTGTTCAATCTTCTCTCTCAACATAGATTATTTCTGTTTTGCTAGGGACTACACTACAGTCGCGGGTGGCACTGTGGGTTAAACCACAGAGCCTAGGACTTGCTGATCAGAAGGTCAGCGGTTCGAATCCCCACGACGGGGTGAGCTCCCGTTGCTTAGTCCCAGCTCCTGCCAACCTAGCAGTTCGAAAGCACATCAAAGTGCAAGTAGATAAATAGGTACCGCTCCGGTGGGAAGGTAAACGGCGTTTCCGTGCGCTGCTCTGGTTCGCCAGAAGCGGCTTAGTCCTGCTGGCCACATCACCCAGAAGCTGTACGCCGGCTCCCTCAGCCAATAAAGCGAGATGAGCGCCGCAACCCCAGAGTCGGCCACGACTGGACCTAATGGTCAGGGTTCTCTTTACCTTTTACACTACAGTCGAAGTAAATATATTCATTAGACTTACTATGTTCCCCACACTGTTTAAGACCTCCTTCTAACAGCCATAAATGACCTGTTCTTTACTGAATTGAGGCTAAGAGCATCAGGACTCTATTTGCCCAGTGTACATTCTTTAACCTTTCATGAAGCTAACAACTCGATCCTAGGTGTGCTTATTCAGTTGAGTTTGATATGTTGGCAGCTGACTTGCACTTAAAATACTCATGTGGGCAATTTATTCACATGAGCAGTAATGCCAGAGTTGCAGAAGTTGTGATTTTTCCTTTCACGGGAGCAAATAGAGTTACGATATGTAAATCAATGTGACCTTGATGTTGCATTGCTCTCTACTTCTCTTTAACTGCTGGTATAGGATAAGAACCAATTTGCAGAAGTAATGTCTCTGATTTTAATGAATTTACTATGAAGTGTGTGCCGTACTGTAGCTGTAGCTGACGGGGAGCCAGTTACATCGCCTTTGACTGTGATCAGAAAAAAGATGCTTGAAAAGGGGACAAAGTGACAACTGATGAATAATCTGTTCGGCAACATTTCCCCCCTAATATTTACCCATCACTTGGCACACTAAGCAGTAACTGATGACCTTGAGACATAAAGATTTATATTCAGGGTGGGGGTGGGGAAGTCTGCTAGCCCTAACTATAGAGAAGTGTGTTTTGATTACTTAGCCATTCCATTTGAAATCTTGATGCAAATACAGTAACTTTAGGAAATGAATGCATGCAAGGTCAATTTGAGAAGAACTACAAAAAACCACTCTGGCTTTCCTCCAGAATACAGTGGTACCTCGGGTTAAGTACTTAATTCGTTCCGGAGGTCCGTTCTTAACCTGAAACTGTTCTTAACCTGAAGCACCACTTTAGCTAATGGGGCCTCCTGCTGCTGCCGCGCTGCCAAAGCACAATTTCTGTTCTCATCCTGAAGCAAAGTTCTTAACCCGAAGTACTATTTCTGGGTTAGCGGAGTCTGTAACCTGAAGTGTATGTAACCTGAAGCATATGTAACCCGAGGTACCACTGTATAGCTGATCTAGTCGTTTCTTTCAAACTAATATGACCTACATTGCCTTTTTTTAAAAAGGGTGCTATACCGTCAACAGATACTATTAATAGGTACCTTGCCATATATTGTAATAATAACGCAACTGTAAAACACTGCTACAAATACATTGGCTGCATTAAGACTTCATGCTGAACCATAATTAAGCATTATGTGAATGAGTCTTTGGCATCCAAGCTACACACATGCGTGCACACACACACACACACACACCTGTGCTATGGTACAAGTGCAAGGATGAGATCAGGAGCTTCGGCCTCCATTTTCAGTTTGTTGTGATTTGTAATGTGTAAATGTGAAGAGACTGTAGTTAATCTTACCTGTGGTTTAGGGATTGTCACCCCCAAACCTGGTGTCTTCCGGATCTTTCGGACAACAACTCCAGCCATCCCTAACCATTTTATTGTGCTGGCCAGATGGGAGTTGGAAGAGCACCAAACCTCCATCTGGAGGACACCAAGCTGGCTCTGCTCTGCTTCAGATAAATAAAATACTTCAGGAAGTCCCAATATGCTAATCCCATTTGCTTCCATAGTTCCTTTGGGGAACGGGACGTACCTGTCAGCGTCCATAATCTTTCCTACATAATTGCCTGTTATAATTTAGGAAAATCAGTCTTTTGTTTTGAGATAAAAAATTACAAACCTTGGATTTCATTATCTCAGTGAAATCCAAGGTTTGTAATACAAGCTGAGCTGAGTTAAAATGATGTATTCAGCATTCCCCTGTAAGCAGCAGAGAGAACCTTCCATCTGGGTCACTTGTCCCTCTGTTTAACTGCTTGGCTGCATAGACTGCCACTGGCATGTTGTGGGTAAAGTGCAGAGACTTGATATATATTTTTGGAGGCTAGATTTACCCGGATGGAGTAAATTAGTTGTGCACCATCCAACATGTTTGCTCAGTGTGATTTAGTAGAAGCCTGTAGACCTAGTGGTTTTGGAAAGGCAGCCAAGGTTGCTTAGGGCCATGAGGAGTTTGATAGAAGTGTAACTGAATCCCCTGGGCTCTTTGGGAAGCTACAGAAAGGCGTATTCCAGTGTGTAGAAGGAAGGTACAGAGTCTGAGGCAGCTGCAGGACAGAGCCTGGGTTCGAGAACTTCCATGGCTCTTGAGAACTGTGGAAAGGGTTGCAGCTCAACAAGTGGCAATTTGTAAGTGGGCGGTGAGTGCTTTCAGACATGGGGAGGTTTTGGTGGGGAGTAATGTAAATGACTTGCAGGCTGAGATCTTTCAAGAGGCATTGGTAGAGTTACAGGGATGTTCATGGCTAAGCCTTAGAGATGGCAACCGTGAATGATGATATCTACAGTATAGCTCTTGTGCCATAGAATATGTGAGGAGCTGA